CACATGTAACTTGGGCCACTCGTGACATATGTGTTATAAAACTAATTTCTTTCCACAATGCAGTAAAATATCTACTATAAGGTAGATTTATGACCTAGTTCATAGTAATTCTGAATGACTCACGCTTGTGTCCCCAAGTCGAGATCATAGGCTTCTGATAATCAGATGGGGCTGAGCTCCCAGCACCTACACTAGGATATGTTTCTCCTTCTTATGTTTGGTCCCATTGTACCCCCATGCTGTAAACAAAGGGACATATGGCAAACCCAAGGAAAGTGTGGACCACAGTGTTGATGAGAGATAATATTAAATCCAGCAATCTTTACCAGGGTACATTTAATAAAACCATAAAAAGAAGGAAGGTGGAACAGGATAGGGCCTGTCCAGTGTTCCTCTAGGATTGTTTCTGTTCCTGCTGCTGGGTGAGCAAATATGTGCAATAAAATACACACAGTACCACACACCTTTCAGCTTGTCCAATGAGATGGAGATCATCTCTCATGTCTTTCTGAAGGAAACTGCAGGCATTACAGGCCCCTGTTGACCTGAGAGGACCCCCACCTTTCCTTCTCTCCTCATTCTCATCTAAAGTTTCACACTACCCACTAGAGCCATGCACGAAAAACTCCACTCCCCATGCCCGTCCCCTACCATTTCAGAGGGATGATTTTCCCAACTTGAAAGAGCTACAAATTGCATAGTGCTTTGTGGCCAGCCAGCCCTTTGCCAGGGCTTGTTACACATAGACAATTAACTGCTACAAAGAAATATCTGTTGAAAAAAGATAAAAGGTACAAGATGTTTCTTCAGGCACACTATACAGAATTGCTGCAATAATTTCAAACCAAGATAGATTCATTTAGGCTCATAGTTACACTCAATTTCTACTAGGTGGCCTCTGAGGCCCCTTCCAGCTTATACTATAATTTCTGAGGCTCATTTGAGCAAAGAGGGCCCCAAATACCTCTGCTCTAATAGAAACTACCTTTTATATTTTCATTAATCCAATTCAATCCAATAAGTATTAATTATCAATCATCTACAATACATAAGGCTTCGTGCTGGGGCTCAGTATAAACAAACACAGACATTCCCTACCATCAAGGACTTGATGTTCTAGGGAGGGGGAGAGAAGACAGGGATGAAATGGGTATATAAATATAAAATGAATGTGAAATTAATTAAACTATACCTGAAAATGATCATGGTATCTATATTTGAAAATTTTCATGGAGAGGGGAGAGCATCACCTCCCCATTTTTTATATGTCTCTAATTGTTAAGAAGTTTTGCCTTTATATTGACCCATTGCCCCAGAAATACTCTATAGTCTAGCCTCTCTTCCTCATTTTAGCCTTCCAAAACCTAAGGACTGTGTGTACTTCCCAGCCACCCCTGCCAAGTCTGATGTTCTATAGCCTAACAACCCTAGTTGTTCTTGCTTCCAGAGACCTCCTTCCTAGCTGCTTTGATCACCCTGCTCCTAGCCTAAGCCTCTCTGTTTGGCCTGGTTGGTCTCCTGGCCACCTTCATAATCCGCTTCTCTATACATGACACTGCTCCGTAATGACATGGTGTTGGACCACCAGATTGTCAACTAGCACTTTCCACCCATGCCCCTTTTCTTCCCTACTTATCTTACAGTATAGTACAGCATACTAGCCTTGGAATTAGAACCCAGGTTCAAATCTTGTCTCTTATACTTGCTGACCTGTAGGCCTTTGCTCAAATCACATACCCCCCCAGGCCTTAGTTTCCCCAACTCTACAGTGAGAGTGTTAGACTAAATGGCCTCAGGAGCTGGTCCTTTTTTCTTTTCTTTCTGTCTGCTGCCTCTTTCTTACTTCCTTACCCTTACTCCCCAAACATCAGCTTTTTTATATTCTCTCATGCTCTTCCTATCCACTAGCAATACTGTAAGAAGGAAACACACAGCCAAGTTTCCTTTCCTTTGGTTTAATAATGCACCTTATGCATATCTAGATGTCTTTCCTAACTCCAAATATTAAGGCCTACCTGGAATCTTATGGGGGATGAAGGCAGATTTGGGTGAGGTTGCACTTGGAAAGTCAAGCCAATTATGAGAAAATACTGAATTGCAAACAGCATCAAGCTCTTCAGCCCGCAGCTACAGTCAGAAATCTCAGCAAAGCCCACACTGTGGGGCAGAAGGTAGGAGCCACTGCTGTGTCCTCTCAGCCACAATAGCATACAAATGCCAGTGACAGAATTAGCATCATCAATCACTCAGGACAGCATCAACTTTTTTTTTTCCATCTGAGGCTGGCAACTACTTGGTTGTAAGTTTAACATAGTTTAACTCTATGGCAATTATCCATAATTAGATTGTTAATATTTAATGGAAATAATTCTCAGAGGACTACGATTAACACCAGTATGGAAGTCAAGCCTCATCTCCTTCCAGGCCACATTTACCACACTGTCAACAATTGATAAGCACCACTCGAAAGTACTTCTAGTTAGTACACCAATCACATGTGGATATTCCCAAATGATTCATGAATCCCAGGAAAGCCAAGGCTTCAAGTAGGCATAAAGTCTCTTATTTGAAGGTCAGTGTGGATTAATTTAGGAAGCCAAAGGCATGAAAGACCATCCAATGCTTTCTAAAATTCTCTTGTGCAGAGGAAATTCCAATTAAGCACCAATGTATCTGGGATACCTTTGGAATCAGTAACCAGAGGAAAATTCCCCCAGTGGCATTATCTCTGTCTTCTTCACAGAGTACAACAAAAACAAAAACAAAAACCCCTCAGAATGCCCAAGTTGGAAGAGACCTCAGAGGTATCTGTTCCAATCTATACCTGAACAGGAATCCCTTGTATATCATCCCTGAGCAGTGTCCATCCAATCTCCCCTTGAAGACCTATAGTGAGAGGAAAATGACTACTTCTTGGCTAGCTCAAACTATTAAAAAGTTGTTTCCCCCCCCAATATCAAAATGAAATCTGTTTTGTTCTGTTTTGTTTTTAGCTTATACCCATGGCTCCTAGTATTTCTCACTGGGGCCGAGAAGATAATGTCTATTTAACTTCATATGGCAGCCCATAAAATACTTCAAAAGTGACTGTGTCCCTTTAAAGCTCAGGCTTTTTTGGACCACCCCACACATTTCTCTCAAATTCAAGCACTCCATACTGTTCCACTCACCCTCTTTGTAACTTAGACCAAAACTTCTGGGAGGTTATCACCCCTCCTCATTACAGAGATCACAAATCTATATATTAATGTAGCCTGAAATTTCATTGATTTTTCTCACTGTTGTATCTCTCAGTTGACTTGCATTGAGCTTACGATCCACTCAGATACCATTTCATTCATTTTTTGCACTGTTGTGTTGCTCAGTTGACTCGTATGGAGCTTACAATCCACTCAGATCTAATTTCATTCATTTTTCTCACTGCTGTGTCACAAGTTGACTTGTGCTGCATTTCCAACTCACTCAGATCTTTAGATCTTCTTCACATTTCTATTTTTTAGTGGAATTTCAAGTGTCAGCAAGTTATCACAGTGCCAGGCACTGTCCTTAATGTGCTTAATAAATGCTAGTTGATTTGACTTGTGCAGTTGATTTTTATGGGTATGGAATCATGCAAAGACATTCAGGGGATAAAATCCCTCAAAAATGAAATTTCTCCATCAGTCAATCACTTATTATGTGCCAGGCATATTCATAGCCACTGAGGATTCAAATAGAAAGATGAGATAACCCCTGTCCTCAAGTAGCTTATATTATATCAGCAGAAGTAATACATGACCATGGAAGCATATTGAAAATGCATACAAAATAAATGCAAGGTTAATTAAATAAAATGAAGACACTAGCATCTGGAGGGAAATGGGATCAGAGAAGACTTTGGAAGAAGGTAGCCATTGAACTGAAGGTTGAAGGAAACAAGGTATGCTAAGAGCAGGAACTAAGGAGAGAGGGAATCCTAGGCATGGGAGACATCCTTGTAAAGGCACGGAAGGTGGGAGATAGAGTATCATATATCCATAGCAGCAAAAACCTTGAGAGCATGCACATGTGACTTGTTCATCTGCCCATAAGGTTAGATTATGTTGTACTATACATGGGATTTCTCTATAGCACCCTTCCATCTCCCCTGGAATTGAAACCCCATTCCTTCAAATAGAGTCCAAATTTAGACCTCGAAGCTGCTCAAGCTGCTAAAACCACCCCACAATGACACTTTAGGAATACTTGCTCTACCTGATCACTGTGATGTGCTCCAGCCTTAATCCTTCACCATCTCCCCTCTGAAAATGTCTGTCATTTCTTTAAGTTAGTTGAAAGAAAAATTAATGCCGAAGTACTGATAATGCCTTAGTATGTTATTTTCACTATTATGAACTTAACAAACACCAACAAATATAACCACTTCCCCATACAAAGAAAAATAGGGGAAAATGACTACATATGAAACCATGCCTGGAATATACACTCTCCATAGCTAAAGCTCTTAGAATCTGTATCTTCCTTCAATGCTCAGCTTTTCTATCACCTAAGAAAGCCTTCTCTGATTTTCCCTAGTCATTGATGCCCTTTCTCTCCTCAGATTTTCATAAGTTTCTTTATCCCATTATATGCTTTATCCCTAAATGTACTGTCATCCCCTTTGAGGGTCAGGGACACTTTTCATTTCTGACTCTGCGCGTCCTCCTACAGCTCCTTGGCTCACAGGAGACATTCACTAAGTATTTCTTGAATCAAGTTGAGTTAAAACAGAAAGTCTAAATGTTCCACATTTTCAGGTTTCCAACCTAGTGCTATTCATAGCATCTTTTCTCTCATTCCATTGTTCATTCAAAATATTTCTCTCACAGATATCCAACGCCTGTTTCACACCTAGAAACTGTGTGCCTGAATGATGAAGTTCCCAATGACTGTGCCTTTATAGTCTGAGCACATTTTAGTCAATGGAGGAGAGAAATGGCCCATTTCTCTTAACTTATGTTTGTCTTTTTTCTTCCTTTTAGGTCATTGAGAGGAAAATACTTGGATCCAGTGGTCTGGCCATCATGTAGAGTTGGAGCTGCGCTTCAGGGTTATAGCATCTGATGAAAGTCAAAGAGAGCACCAATAATCATGCCTGTCAAGAAAGAAGCTAAGAAGAAGTGGTGTAAATTCTTTACCAAGGCAACTCTATACCTTCTTTCTCTGGGCCTGACCCCCTGCCAATCATGTGCACTTTACACGCACAGCCCTTCCATTGATAGCCCTGGGAGTTCTCTATGTGTAAAAATGAAGGCTTCTCCACATGCTGCTGGCTCCATCTGCAGACTTTAATACTCTAAGGAGAAAAAAAAAAGTCTGTGGCTTTTAAATACCTTCTTAGGGTCAGGGATGGAGTGAGTCTTTGGCTTCAAGCTTTTCCAGAGATTAACACACCCCTTATTAGTCTATAGATCAAACTGCATCAGTTCAAGGATTTTGCCACTTAAGACAAACCCTCCTCATCAACATTAACATCCTCATGCCCTATACTATATACATATTGCAGAGTTGTTTGAATTGGACTTCCAGTTTATAACAAACGCAAAACTTTTTTTCTGAAAAAAAAATAGCAGTTATTCTACTATATTTATACTGTATTCAGGTTGTAGAAGCAATTGGCTTTTTACTCTTGGTGTTTCCATGAATTTTATTATGCATTAATTAATAGAATGGGGCAATTTTAGGTCACCTTTTGCTTTCTTAGCAGCAAGGGTAGAGAACTCTAGTACTGTATTTTTAAACTTAGGTATTGCTTGTAACTACTATTCTGAAATCTAACTGAATATAATGTATATTTAATTCCATAAGATATATATTGTCAGATTGTATTTGTTACAGATTTATGGTCTTTTCTTACTATATATATTCAAAATCTGGTAAGAGAATACTACAAAAAAAAAACCCAGCTTCATTGAACAGTAAACACATGATAGATATAACCCAGCTTTCTGTATTCTTAAGTTTTATATTTTATGGTTAACAAACTCTGGAGAAACGTAAAGTGTTTCTATCCGCACTGTCATCCTGTCTTAGAGGTCTATTTGCTATCAAAACTTAGACCTTTACAAACCAAATTATAATGTATGTAAGTAGATATATACAAGTAATATATGTTATACAAAGCCTCAATGGTTATCTTCCCAAAGATTGTTAGGTGTATGTTGCTGTGATTAGAAGACTGAAAATAATGATTATTTCTCTTAAAAATTAGGAACAAGAAACAATGGATTTATATGCTCCAAAGTTTAAATAGATAGATACTAATTTTTCCTTGGGACAAAAGGACTCCAAATTCTATGCATATCTTTGTGTATTTGCATAGACAGTGAAGAATATTTCAGTAAGGAATATTTACCCAGATAATGATTAGCTACAAAATAACAATTCAAAAGGACACCTAAGAACAGTACTGACTTGACTGAGAAAAAGAGGGGAGCTCTACAATGGATTTTCCTTGACCAGGCAGAAAAGGAAAGATGATTATTTAAACAATTGGACAACTTCCATGAGAAAGTTTATTAACCAAAGTGAGATATGTTCAGTAAAAACTTTTTAATTAACTAAGAAACATGAAACAACCATTGCACACTCTACTTGTTCTCAGAAAATGGAGCTATTGTGCGTGATGACAGTTTTCAACTACCCTTCTAAGTCTTAGCAATTGATTTCCAATTATAATAGCTGGTTAGGGTTTGGCATCTTCAACAGTGATAATTAACAACAGAGAGCACAAGCCCACCGAAAGGCAGGAAGTCTGAAGAGCAGACCATCAGCCATTTTGACAGTGCCATGCTGAGGTAGCTAAATGCCAAATTCTTGAAACCCATTCTCTCTGAACTTGAAAGGACTGAAATACAAATCCCCGATTGCTACACCATGCAGCTAGCAGAAAGGAAAAGAGAGAAAGAGTACGGTGCGAGGAAATTCTTGGATGATATTTGCTAAGCTTGCAAAAGGTAGTTTTTACTTTTTAAACACGCTATAAACAGAAAAAAACGTTTTAACACAACTGAGTGTGATTGTCCTTTATGAAAGTCATTGGTCTTTTACAAGGGAGAAAGTGGTTTCTTCAATGCATTTATAAGTTTCAACATTCAATATATCAAACTAATTCAGAAAACAGGATGTCTTTACTTGACTACAAATGTTATCTGAAAATTAAAATCACTGTGTGATTTTACATGAATGCAATTGTTATTTTGTGTGTTGTTAAAGAAAGATTTTCCTAAATCAAATGCCAATTGTGTATGCATTTGAAATATGGTACAACAGTATCAGATAGTGCAACAGCAACTGAATCATAGACACAGAGCTGAATAGGACCCTGGAGATCATCGAGTCTAACTCCTTTGTTTTGCAAGTGAGGAAACTGAGGTGGAGACAGGGGCAGTGACTTACACATGGTCACCTATAATCTTTAAAGAAGCCTGGTACATTTTACTTTTATTCAGTTACTTAAATATCGGTAATAAATACATGCCTAATTGTGCACTATAATGAATCGCTGCTAAATCTCTATCATGTCTCCTGAAAAATCATCCTAGGAAGACTAGAATGTATCTTCACATGTGTATTACTCACTGATCTTTAGCAAATAGAACTACTTTCAAGAGTTGTCAGAAGTACAATTTCTCCTCAATTACTTGGTTTCTCTGCCAAAGTAATGGCCGAAGTTGGATATTCTGGTGCTATGTTTAGCTCTTTTAAACCTTATATAGGGAGAAGGGGATTTTGCTATTCCAAATTGTATCAATGCTATGATTAACAATACTATTTCATTTGAGTAATCTAAGATGATATTATAAAGACATGGGTTAATGCTCAAATCAACCAGGATTACATCTTGAATTATAAATGAACTAAGGAATAGACACTGTTAAAGTAATACGGCCCTCTATCAATAACAGTAGTAACACTGGACTCCTTTTCAACAGGTTCATGACACTTGGCATTTCATGGCTTGGTCCCCTTAATTACAAGGTTATGATGTAAGCTACAAGAAACAATCTAAGCTTTTCAATGGAGTATTTTTATTTTTATTTTGTTGCTTTTTCAAAGAGACTCACTGGAAAAGAGATAATAAGCTTAAATTACAATTGTCTTTAGAAAGAATAACAGACTTTTGAGCTTCCTCAATCATATAATCAATAAGAACCTCTCTAGTTACATGAATCACCACTATCTTTTAAGACAATTCTAAGACCCAAATGCAAAATTTAGTATTTACAGGCTTTTTATGGATTTAGGTCTCTCTCTTGGAATGCAGAGGGATTATGCCAATTTTCAAATCCAGTTTTCAACCATGACACATTAAATTGATTCTATCTTTTTTATGGTGATGTGGATTTAGAGAGGACTGAGTTTAAATGCTGCCTCTAATTCTTACTACCTGTATAACCTTTGGGAAGACACTTAAATACCCTGTGCCTCATTTTCCTTTTCTGTAAAATGAGAAGATTGGACTACATGGCTTTTGACCTCACTTGAAGCTCCAGATATATGATCCTATGATATATGATTAATTTGTTCAACTGTGTCTTTATGGTACCTGCACATTCAAATGCTTATGCTATTCTGAAGATACAAAGTTATTTAATGTATGGATAATAGACTGACTTTCTTTTTTACCTTTTAATCTAGATATTTAATTGTGCCCATGAATGGGACCAGTCCTAGGAGAAATTACAAATAAGAGACTTGTCTTCTGCAGATCAAGAGGAGAGCTCAGATCATTCCCAGGCTAACCTCATTCCCTTCCCCCTGGGTAAGCTAGAGTGGTTCTAGGCAGATGTGAGATACAAATTTGCCTTAGGACAGTAGCCCATTTGGTTCAATAGTTCCTAGATAAACATTGACATTTCTCTGTAGTGGCTGTGCGGATGAGGTTGAAATCCATGCCAGCTTAGGGATTATCTACATGGAGAAAATCATAAATGCTTGAATATTCTCCACCCCTCCACAAAAATTAATAATAAATATACAAGGTGCTGCAAAAGTCTTAGTGCATTTTTAAAGCTTAGCAGCTTTAAAAAACCACTAAGACTTTTGGCACACCCATTATAATTTTTCTATTCATCAGCTCTAAACATTGCAGAGCTTGTACCGATGGGTTAACTGTTCCTTCTGAATTCCATCACAACAAAATGATAAATGATAATTAGATAACACTGATAGTAGCTCACATTTCTCTAGCCTGTTAAGTCTTCCGAAGCACTTTCTTTATAATTTCCCTTGGGGTGAAAATATATTTATTATTCCTGCTTGGCACATAGAAAACAAGATTCAGAAAGGTTAAGTTACTCATAGTCATATAAATACTAAGTGTTGGAAAGAAAATTCAAATTGAGCTCTCTCCTATGTGGTTCAATGGAATAAGCACTGAGTCCAGAGTCAGAGCATCTGGGTTCAAATCATGGTTTTACCACTAGCTACCCATGCAATCTTGGACAAGTCACTTAATCTTTTTGGGTCTCAGTTTCCTGAGGTGATATCTCTAAGATCCCTTTCAGGTCTGAACCTATGATTCTATATTCCAAGACCAATATCCTATCCACTATGCCACTCAACTTCTTTTCAGAAGTACTTGTCAAATAAAATTATTAGGAATGAGTTAAAAGAGTACTTAGAAGAGTTTGATTTCATTCAGATTAGCCACAAAATTTGAAGAGGCTTGCATGAGCCATTTAAGTTAATAGATCAGTTTTGGAAAGCTAAGTGAGATAAGGTTGAACCTTCAAGAAATGGGGATTCTCTTGATCCTGAAATTTTCTCAGTGTTTGGCACTAGTAAGCTACAAAAAAGGATTTGATTTACACATGTTATTATTTTTTTTAATTTAGTCCATTCTTTTAAAGTCAGGTAAAAAGAAATCCCTTTAGCAAAAATACTTACATCAGTAGTAATAACACCACTGGTTTTTACAACACACTTTTTTATTCACCTCTCCCTCCCTCTGCTCTCAAGTAATTCAATACTCACCAAAAGCTATTTCCTGATTGTACCCCGCTCTCTGTTTGATTCCCTCGTGTTGTTCTCAGACTTGGTTTATACCAAGAAGAAATTCATTATGTTGTTTAGTTAGTGATTCCCCAAGGCCCTGCTGGGTTCACCTGAGATCTCATACGAGTCCTCTCACTTCTTACCCAGGGAACCATGGAAAGCTGTTGAGTATTCCCTCCAAAGGTATACATGAGCTCAATTATCCAAGTGGGTATAAGAACTCGATTTTTACAATTTTTATCTTGCCACTGGATTTCACCAATTCTGAAAGAGAGAATGAGGCTGAAGACTTCATGCAACTCTGCCTCACTCAAATCCAAATCATGTGCAAGTCAAGACATCGACCCCATGACATCATTGGTCCTCTTCAAAAGCAAAGCATAAACAATACTGCAATAATATCCCAGCAGGAGAGATCACCTAGTACCATTATCCCTAATTTCCCTAACTAGTTGAAATAATGTATGTAGGGGAAATTATTTGAAAAGCATAAAGTGTGCTAGAAATTCAAGGTATTATTTTAACATTCAATATTTAACAGAGAAGTTCAATAAAGCAATCAGTAGTACAAAACATAATTGTAACTCAAGTCTTGCAGTTGTGTGTCTTATGAGAGGGAGTATGCGCAAAGAAAAGAGTGCTGAATGTGGAGTCACAGTACCTGAGTTCAACTTCTGGCTTGGCCAGACATCCCACTTGCGTAATGTTGAGCAACTTAAGTAGCTTCTCTGGGTGTCAGTTTCCTCATCTGTAAAATGATAGATTTGGACTGGATCAGAAGTATCAAACATGCAGGCTGCAATATGATTAGTAGTACTTCTGAGCATAGCCTAAACAAATTTAAGTATAACTTGGAAATATTTTTAAAAATATATCTACAATTTATTGTCTCCCATTTCTATGTGTTTGCTACCACAAACTAGATGACCTTGGAGGTCCTTTCCAATTCTAGATCTGTGATCCTGTATTAGGCTATATTGCTTCCCATGAAAAAAATACTTCAGATGCATGTATAAAAGCGTGGGATCCAGAAAACTTTCTGATATGTAAGTGTTTTAATGCCTTTTCAATATTGTTTCTTGGGGAAAAAAACACTGTGTCTACTTGGTGCTACAACATATGGAAGAATTCAGTCCTTGCTACAAAGGGCTTATTCTAGAAATACAGTGTGGGGTAAAACCCAATGGTACTTTAGGTTTACAGGATATAATGTGACATTTGTAATGTTGTCCTGCCATTTCATGCCCATCATGTATCTCAAAAATTTTCATTTTTATGAACTGCAAAATGTGGTGCAGTGTTTCAACTTGACCAAAGTGGTATCATTCTGCTGGGAAGTATAAAATACTAGACATACAACTGAGAGTGGTGTCTTTATTATCAAAAAGTGGCTTCAAATTACTTTGGGAGCTGAATTTAATGGAATTATCTGGTATCAAAGGTCCCTGGATTTTAAGTTCAGCTGAGCTTATTAATGCAAAGTCTTGGTTACTCATACCTCCCTCAGCACTTGCCTTTATGACTTCCCGCACATCTCGAATTCACATACTCTCTAATACTCTCCAGCAGAGCTATTATCTCAATAATATGGTAATCCCTCAATGTTGCAGCTTGAGATCCTGCAATACCTCCTCTGTATGCTTCTTGTATAAGTCCCCCTATAAATCTATAATGGGAAGTCCATTCAACACTGAAAGGGTTTTCCATTTATTCTCCTGCTATCTGAATACCAATGAAGCACACAGTGTTCAGTGTTGAACCTTACTCTTGCTGTAAGACAAGCCAATCTTTTTTTCTGCTCCTAGATTTTTCTAAGTCTACACTGATCCTCCTGCATAATTAATCATTTGTACTATGTTGCACCATTCTGCCCACATTGCCCTTAGTGTGATCTTCAACTTCATTTCTTTGGAGACTACGCAATTATTCCATCTCTTATAGCCATTTATCACCAGAAGAATATTGGTATTAAAACTATTGGCCTTTGTTTCATGGGCAAACTCAGGGTCACTAAAATAGCTACAATTTTCCAAAAGCAATTCAGCCTGCTCTCCTATTGCTGTTCAATTTTTGGCCCAGCTCCACTGCCTATTTCACAGTGACTATATAGGATATATGAACTGATGGACCATCTCTGTGGGTTCTTTATCCAGCTGCATATTGTGATCTGGGCAATAAGCTTTCTTT